CAATGTATGTCTTTCCTAGTTTAAAATGATCATCTAACGCAGTAATGTTTGCATCATACATAGTTGTTGTTACTTTATTTCCCTATGTACATGTAAAGGGATAAACAAAAATGAATGGTAGATATAAATATAGGAGAACCTGAAATTAAGTTCACAACAATATAGATGTACCCGTAAATCCATCAAAGTAAGATTTTGATAACGACTATTGGAGTTTCAAGCTGTTTTAGGTGATTGCTTCCCTGCTACGATGATTTTGGCTGACCAATTAGTTTAAAGCCGAAATTTCTGGCATAAACTCATTCTTGAGGTTTGAAGACTGCGTGAAATTATAAATGAGAAAAAAAAATAACAGAGAGTAAGTTNCAATGTATGTCTTTCCTAGTTTAAATTGATCATCTAACGCAGTAATGTTTGCATCATACATAGTTGTTGTTACTTTATTTCCCTATGTACATGCAAAGGGATAAACAAAAATGAATGGTAGATATAAATATAGGAGAACCTGAAATTAAGTTCACAACAATATAGATGTACCCGTAAATCCATCAAAGTAAGATTTTGATAACGACTATTGGAGTTTCAAGCTATTTTAGGTGATTGCTTCCATGCTACGATGATTTTGGCTGACCAATTAGTTTAAAGCCGAAATTTTTGGTATAAACTTATAAGATGGAGCCATTCTTGAGGTTTGAAGACTGCGTGAAATTATAAATGAGAAAAAAAAAATAACAGAGAGTAAATTTGACAAAATAATAAATATAGGAATACCTGAGATAACAAAACAACACAGAGTAGAAGAGGGCAAAATACAAAAATTTCAACTGTTTTTACTTTGCATTTTCTTACAATTCAAGTATTGAAGTAAATGGTAGTATTTATAGAAATCAATGGTAAAATATCTAGGACATTAGTGAAATATCTACTATGGGAAATATGATTTTTTTTGTGTTAAGAAGGAAATTGAGAAATATCTATTGTGGGAAATAAATTTTTTTTTTTTTTTTGCAGGAATCCAGGAATCTGACAAAAATCTATTGGGGAAATGGAATTTGTATAGATGTCGATTTTTGAAAAAATATCTACTGTGGAAAAATAGATTTTTTTACACCTGTATTTTCATTAATAAAATATAAGGAAAAATAAGTTGGTATGAAATCTAATTTTTGTCTTAGTTATTATAATGAAATGAGTTTTTTGCATTAAATTATAAATTGATTTTGTATAAAAGAAACATTTTTTCCAATTAAATAAGTGAATGCATCTTTATAACATAAAAACAATTTCAAGAGTC